TCATTCGAAAGTGTGCCCTTTTTATTGGTATTGGTAGGAGCGAGGTTTAGCGGACCATCTGATTGTTTAATTTCTATTGGACTAAGGAAGTCAATTTTTTCTCTTTTTGCAAATGATGGTTCTATTTACAGAATTTGTTGTTTACATCTACATACTCATCCCACCTTTACTATTTCTATAAAGAAGTCAAATTTCAATTGGTCACCTCTGGTCCATTTATGTTCTCTATTGTTAAAAACTGAAAAGCACGGATCAAATGTATCTAAATTAAGCTTGTTTCCTTTTATATTTTTCGTACCTTCGTCAGTTTTAGTTAATAAAACCGCTGTTTTTTCTTAGATAGCTGCTAATTAACAGTTGCGTTAGTGTTCAGATATATAATGCGGGAAGTTTATGGGCTGACAAACAGCTGAGGTCATCGCCGGCCCTCTGCGTGTTTTCCTTCTTTTTCTCTCCTTTCGCGCGTATTTTGTTTTAAACTGCAGCCATTTGAGCGCCGCGATCTGATTGCTGACTCTCTGATTTCAAATATATACTACGTTGATACCCTAGAATGCTAGCCTCTCGTTTGTACCTCAGGTTGTCACATACAGAATAGAAACAAAACATACAATACGTATATACATCACCACAAACATAGATATCTGGTCACATTCACTCCCCCGAGTACTCGATATCCCTCGGGGCGGGGTTATAAGCAACCTATTCCTTTCACGCTAATAAATTACATTCATTACAATAAATTAACACAAACACAACACTCGATAGAAACATAGAAGTCTGGTCACATTCACTCCCCCAGAGTACCCGATTTTCCTCGGGGCGGGATTGAAACCACTCATCCCAGAGTACTCAATATTCCTCGGGGCGGGGTTAAATCACCCCTTCCTTTTCATTCTAATAAAATACATTCATTCCAATAAATTAACATAAAGTCAAAACAGACATAACACAATCACACATAAAAAATCTATATACATTTAAAAATCCCTATAGCCCTGAGGTACCGGAACAGCGATCTGTGCCCGCTGCTGTGCCCCAAGACTACGCACAGGTCCGATGATATAGTGTTCGGATGAAACGTGCACTGACATTAGCGAAGTTTGGCGGAAACACCACATGCATGTTCAATTTTGGAAATCTGATTTGAATTTGTTTCAAGGTGAGCATTGATCACCTAGGGAGTTTTGTCCTGTCGTCATTTTTGCTCAAACAGCTCAAAACCGCTGATTTTCTTTTGAATATCTACTTATTGAGTACTACAAAGGACATATTTTCGATTTCAGACTAGCCAAAAATCTTGGATTTTACTATTTTTATATATTAAAGTCAGAATCTTCCTCAAGTCCAGGGAACATCCTATTTAGATATTTACTACACTTGTCCAGGAATGTACATATCACGGGTTCAACGACCCGTACCAACCACCTAAGGTGTCTTTTTGCTTTTTAATCGCCGATTCACAACCCACTCGGCGTACTTTTCACATCAAACAATCGTTAAGACATAAAAGTCTGACTGGAATCGACAAAGGCATTAAATTATTACCATCAATCATGGTGGGAAAGTTTCCGTTTCCTCTGGGTTGCCCTTGTTTGATTTTTCCATTTAGAAATAGGGAAAAGTTTCAAATGATGTTAATGTTTCATTATGAATTTAAAAAGAAGCAGTTCATTTATGTGGATAAATCCGATGCATGTTTGCGCTACCAATATTACCATTGTTCATCTGTCATTTGTCCTACATTATTGTGACCTCAGACAATGTTGTTCGTTTTAAACTTTAATCGCTCGGTTTACATTTAATTGAATCACGATTACCTCTTAATTACATGCTGCTGTTTTTCAATCCGCTATTAAAATGATGTTTGTTTAGTCAAGGATTAAATGGTAATTTCCTGGAAATGAGTCAATGAAATACTCTTTAGAGCCTTTTTATTTCTGTCCATAGGTCATGGAATAGGAAGGTCGACTCCGCAATTAACCACTACTCGGGAGAAAAAAAAACTGCAAAATCCCACTCGGCCACTAGGACCTTTTCCTTTTTTTCCAATAATTATAAACTAAATACTGAATACGTTAACGATCGGGGTCTTGAACAATATTTTAAAAGGCAGGTTGTAATTAGGTTGGGAATGAGTTTGACATGATATAAAAATTACATGCCTCGTTACTTCAGGGGGTAAGGAGTGTTTGGAAATGACTGTCATTAATGACTCTTCTCACTCTTGTTTTTTTTTTCGTTGAGTTAAAATCTAGTTGACTGCCTATCAAATTAAATCGTAATTATATGATTAAAAGCTTTGAAAACACTCCTGTGAGACCCCTGTAAAAACCAAAATAAAAACAATATTTTACCGATCGAAGTAAAGATAGCTCAAGTGGTAGAGCAGCGGCGTATTTAGCCGAAGGTCGTGGGTTCGAATCCCGCTCGTGACACTGACATTTTTATCTCAACCTTATTTAACGATTAATTAATTGAAAACAATATCTTACTTTTATCTCGAAATAGGATTTGTAGAAATCAAGGAATAAGGTCTTTAACATAAGAATATGTTACAAGCATACTTTTATTATTATTAGCTGATTGACATAGAAAATAATGGGAAGATCTTTGAGCATTAAAACGAAAAATATGTTCACATTATTTTCCAAATTAACATATTATTCAGATTGATAGCGGCAACTTGCAATTATTTTTTGAAAAGAAACGGAATATACAAGATAAAAGAAACAATTAAGCTAACTCATTGAGAAATTAAAAGGAAGCTTAATCACTTTTTAAAAACTCTACTCCCCCTTGATTACTGCTCGACTTAATATACCGTTTTGCTAAGTATATTTTCTAAGCAATTAGGAGCAGGATGCTTCGGTTGTGCATCGGCCGTAAATATTTTTATTTTCGTACAGTTTATACCTTCATTCCTTGTTATGCAAATGTTTTGTAAAATTTTTATTACAACATTAAGGAGTTCCTGTGTATTATTTTATGGTTGAATTGGTTCGAAAACGCTAATATTAACGAATTTCCTTTGCTTTTTTCCGTTGAGCACACTAGATTTGCTGTTGAAAGCTTAAATATCGATTAATTCGTCAAGCAAAATTTTTAAAATATTTTATTAATAATGATGTTTCATCTGATTTATAATTCTGTATGAATTGTGAATAACTGCGTACGTCGAATTTCGTGTAAAATTGAATTAGTATGCTGAAATCAGCATTGTCGGCATCAGAAATTTCGGTCGTAAGGGCTTAACCCATAAAATCCACCGGGAAGATATTACGTTTCAAAGTATGTCTGAAATAGAAGTTGGATTTTACCGAAATCTGTCAGGTATGCAGGTTGCTGAGTCGCTTTATCCCACATCCATCCTCCTTAATCGGCTTATAATGTCTTAATTTTCGACTATCCTAGGGTGTCCGGTCAACCAACTACCCGTGACACCCCGCACATTGTGCAATTCCTCTTCGAAAAAGCGGGCATTGGTCAGACTTTGATGGGGGTCTGAATTCTCTTTTCCGATGTATAAAAGAAAAGAAGTAAGATGTAACAAGTTTACATAAACGATTCACAATAATGATAAATAAATCATGAGGTTTTATCTACGAGTTGCCGTCCTTGGTCATCCTGGTCCGACGAATCTCGTTTTATTCAGTAAGACAAGTTCTTTGCATTTTGCCACGAACACTGTTGTCGGGTTTTGCCCTTTGTTGAAAAGAAGACTTACAAAAGAGACTTTATCTTATAAAAGTCAATTAAATTTAATTTCTACATGTTGTATGCGGGGTGATGAACCCGAAATTTGGTGGTTACCTATCATTTTGGCCTGTTTATTCCTGCTGGGTCTGTCTGTCAGACGAGTTTCGGCATTTCGCCACAGTACAAATTTAATGGTATTCTGTTTTTGTTTTTTCCTAATCTGGTCAGTTGTTCATTTAGGATTTTTAGTATTGTTAGAGTTGTTTATTTAATTTCATGTTTTTCATGCTACCCAACCTAAAAGTACAGCGAATAAAATGTACTTTTATCTTATTCGTCTTATTAATTTTGTCCCTTCCGAAATAATTAAACTCCAGAATTGTGCTATTTTTATATTAAAAATGTACTCAAATTGACATTAAGTAAAATAGTTGGCTAAATGGTCACCAGCAAAAACCTTTCATTATATTATTTAAATTTTGGTTAATATTCACATATAAACTAGCAAAAACATCAAATTTTGCCATGTCTTGAAAAAAATTAGAAAATGGATTATGTTAATTTTCTTGGTTGAAGCATCCCGTGTGTTGGAAAAAGAAAAAAAGAGCGGGCCTCCAGTTCTTTTCAGCTGTCAGGGATTCGCAATTAAACTACTGTAATTACGAAACCAGATTGCTTCTAATGAGCCTAAAGTGGAAGATTCTTACACGATACCTTCTCGGCGGTTTTCTGTGAAACGGTGAAATGAAACGTTACGCGGTTGTTCGAAAATTTGCGCCATTTTGCCAAATCTCGCGATAATTTTCAGACGATTAATTTTTTCCCACCCCAAGGGGATTAAAATGCTCTCCCGGGGCGGGTGAATAAGGGCGGGTATCGATTACGTAGGACGTCATTACGCTTCTCAAAACCGGCCAACGGTGGAAGCAGTGGCAACGCCTTTTCAAGCCTTAAGAAATCCGTGAACATGCGCAAAAAAAGAAGGACGAATTAATTAATTATGAAACCATCGTGGGTGGCAGGCTGTCTAATTAAAACTTACACAATTTCAGAAGCTTATACTTAGGCTTGATTTTTAATTACCGGAATAAGAAAAAACATATGCTGAAAATATTTTACGCCTGCTCACCACTTTAGCTGCGAAATCGGCTAGCAGACGACAACTTGACGTCATTTTTGGGGAATAGAATTGGGAAGGCGACCACACCTTTCATTGTGACCTCACTGGTAAAAACACTTGAAAATGTCTTGCCTGTAAATGTATACACTATTTTTTTAACTTTATTCTCTTTTTTACCTAGCTACATTGACAAGATTTGACCACAGTTTACTGAACCCCGAACTCGATAATTATTGTGAGTAGTAGCCTATTATAAAATTTATTATTAAAACTTATATATATATTTCAAAAATTAGTCATAATTTGTTATGAATGTCGTTCAATGAATCTCATCTCTGCGTTTCTCAGCCAAAAATCTGTATTATATTGTTTAAATGAAAAAATAAAAAATCTAGCGAAAGACGATTATACTTTTATAGAAACTGATGTAATATAAACATTACAAACTTTACATTGAAATAAAATAATTAAAATATATAAAATAATTGAAGAATACTATTCTGATGTTTTTAGTCGCGCGTTTCTGTTATTTACAGGATTTAGTGGGCATCATCATCATCGGGTATCATTGATGGTCGAAAAATTGTAATAAATTTCGCTTCGCAATTATTATAATAATTATGTACAATCTGTTACTTAAGTGTTCACTTTATTTTTGAGGGAAATATTCCATAAAAGCCTGAAGGCGAAGCAGTAACGCTCATTATCCACGGCCATTATTGGTAGACGTTTAGCGAAAAGGTAAAAGAAGAAAATTATACAAATTATCGCCCTGATTCATCCACGGAACCTTCAATTTGCCCGAAACGTGTTTCAAGGCAGTAGAAAACAATATTAGAATAAACGAAATAATAATCGAATTTGGCCCCGGCGCTGGAGAGGTTCATGCTAATAGCCGGGCCGCTTGTTAAGTAAAATCCACCTAGTTAGAAAATTAAATCATTTTCTGATATTTATCTAGACACCTTATTATAATATTTTCTCCTCCCCTTCCCGCTTTTTCGGCCCGGCCCACAACAAGGCCCCGTCTGAAAAAAGAAAGAAGTTCCAACGAAATCGGGGGCAATTTATATTCATTAAAAGCCGTCAAATTACTCCGTATCAAAACCGGGGGGCGACCCAGGCAATCAAAATGGAAATGGAGCAGCGTCGGTCGGTTAAATTAGTGCTAAACATTTGTTGAAGCCATTGATAGACGGCACGGGGGTGGCTCCTTTTTCCTCCAAGGGTAACCATGACGGATTAATTAATATAAGCCTCTCTTCCTCTGTGACAAGTCACAAATTAAAATTGAAACTCATTTGAAAATAATAACATTTTTGAACCTCGTTACGAAGCATGTGATGTCTTAACTATTTCTTTTGATTAAAATATACTTACTGTATACTATATATTAATGCTTTTAAATATGATTGGCCTTAATAGTTTCTTAAAAAAAGGACAGATATATTGGCTGCCACTTCGAAAGTCTTTTTAAAAGTTTACTGATTACCAGAAACTCAGTTTATTGGGATGTTTACGATGTTTGTAAGATGTTAACTGGAATAGAGATATGTCCAGTAAGATCCTGAATTCCCCCTTCTTTTCTAAGCATGTTAAACGTTAATTTTTCCCCAGTGCTGCGCGTGGCGATTGGTATAACCAAACATAAAGCTATAACAGTCCGTGAAGGCTTGTTGTTGTTTGTTTTGGTTTTCTTTTGTGTTAAATTGTAAGATGCCAGAAGTTATTAAAAAAGGAAAATTAATCAACTCTTTCATTCAAAATGCTATCTATTCACACGAAAAGTACTAACAAATAACACACTTCAATTCGTGCCGACATACCTAACCTGTATCCTAACGTCTAACAGCCGACAACTTTAGGGGTAGGGGGTATCTATTATTAATGAGAAAATAAGGACAGGTCAGAAAATAACAAAAGAAATATATTGGTCTGATTTAATTAATGCGTATTTAAGAATAAAAATACGTGTAAACAAAAAACAGCTGTTAAATTCATGGCTGCCATGTTGGTTACTTACGCCCTAACGACTAGCAATGTAACTATATTTTCGATCTAACATCTAACATTGTCCCTGGCCTGTTAGATAAAGCAATGTTAACTAGCCGATTCTACAATCATTTTTCTCGATCTAACAGGACCTAACAGAGTTAACAGGGTTAACACAAAGACCCCTCATATTTGATTTATTTCTAAATTCTGCTAAACAATAGATTATAATTTTGACATTGTACGATTATAAAATTGTGTGATTTTTATTGTTTAGCCTGCCCTGTATAGGGAACATATGCTATATAAATTAAAAAAATACGTTATAATTAAAAACCTGTTAATAACACAATGAACTGCTTGACTAAATTTTTCAATACACCTGATTTTTTCTAGGTTAAATTTAAATAATTATTTTGAGCAGGTTAGTGGTAATGGAAGTGACAAAATACCTTTAATATTTGTAATTTCTTTTTAATCAATATATTATATATAGTTATGAAAATTACTATATCAAATCTAGATAAAGCTAACCGTTGACAATCTATGAATATGATTTTTTACCTTGGTTACATTATTACAATCATTTACGTTGAACAGAAATTGCTTGGCAACATTGTCATGCTTTAATGTTAGTTGTCACAGAGATTTTTGTGTTATAAACATGATAAACGTAATTTTTAGATTTATTAATTTTCAATGATTGTTGATGGTAATGGCTTAAAATTTTATACATTTGATTCTTTGAACAACATATCAGTACTATAACGTGAGGGATTATTTAATAATATTTTAATTGTGTCCTATGTGCTACATGTAATTGAGGTGATTAAATTGCTAGAGTTACCTCATACTATGATACCATAAGAAAGTAAGGATTGCCTTTGAGGGAAATAAACGCACCTTAGTGATTTGAAATCTAAGCATTTGCACTAGCTGACCAATTTTAAAGGATAATAATTTTAGTGAGGTACTCAAGCATATATTGCAAATTTTAATTTGGAATCTGTTAATATTCCTACATATCTACATTCCTTTACAAACCTAAGTTTATATGTTTAACATTATCATAGAATGTAGAATGAAAATCCCTTTGAGAAGGATTTTCAAAATCGTTTTTCCGTGTGAAAAGATTTAGGTTTTATTTATATTAATCAAAAAGAAATCGTCATTAAACCAATGCATTATGATATTCAAGCTATTTTTAACTTATTGAATTAATCGTTTATAGTTACTACAAGGGAAAAGAAAGTGTTATCTGCAATTAATGCAATAATTATTTTAACTGTAATATTTAGAAAATAAGTTATTAATATAAATCAGAAACAACAGTGGGCCTAAAACAGTTCCTTGGTACACCCATCAATTCATTATGCGACTGGTGCTAATAACATCATTCACTTTATCTTTTTGTTCTCTGTTTGTTATGTATGATTTCAGAAAAATAAAAACAACAAACAGAACAATAAAAATTTGCAAAAAAATAAATAGGTTATAACGTATATAACCAAAGCAACTCAATATTCTAAGTAATGACAAGCTGGGAGTATCCAGGTGAGCTCAAACAGAGCAAAGCTACTTTTGTTCACTTCCTTTGCTTATTTCAACAGTTAAATTTTCATTAATTTCCTTCGAAGTCCAAGACCATCTGCAAGGATTCATAATGATACAAAGAAGTTTCACTTTGAGCTTTTGAGCTTTTTTCTTACGTTTCGTCCTTCTATACAGCCCTGACAGTTAAAATGGAAACTGGTGTTTTCAAATTCTACATTGTGATTGCAGAGTCGATTCTTGTAGATGTAGTAGTATGTATGTGCTTTTTTTGGATAGCACTGTCAATGTTCTAAGTTCGATTCCACTGAGTGAAAGTTGTTAACCAGTTTAATGTAAGGAAACCAGCGTGCTTGTCTTGTCTTCAGACCACATTTATATAATTTGGTCAAAATTGCATTCGCTCATCCTTTTTTCATGTCTTTATGATGTCCATTATTTACGAATTTTTTGTGTTTTTCGTTTTCATAATGTCACTATCCATCTAAGCTGGAGGACTTGGCAATTTTTTTGGTTAGGGATGGTTAGGGATTGGAAATTATAAACGCGCTCTTCTTGTAATTGTGTGTTGGATCAAGGTTGGATCATGATTTTGACAATTATTGACTTTCCAGTTCTGATAAATTTAAATTATTCGGACACAACTATTTATTTCTCAATCTTGGTGTTACTGGCATAGCCAGATCTGTTTAATCCTTTGAAAACATTTAATTAAGCATCTCTAAATTAGCTGGAAGATTGATAGGCCATATGTTTTAGTGGGTGGTAATAGAATTGTTGGTTCTGGGTCTAGGGTAGGTCCTAAAGAGGCTCAAAGATGAACCAAATTGGGAGAAAACGAGATGATCTTCAGGTAATTTTCGAAGACTATAAAATGTTTTTTTTCTGAAACAAACGTTCATGGGTCCTGACCCGGAATTAATCTCCGTGTTCTGAGGTGGTAGATCAGGAATAGCGTGCCCGGGGCCAATCCGTCCCGGTATCGCTTGCCCATTAGCCCGAAGGGCTCTTAATAATGCCTGCTAAACGCTACCGAGCTATCTGATACCAAAGAGATATCACGGATTGAGCTGTCTTCAACAACCAGAGATTGAAAAATTACCCGCTATCTCCAGGCCGGGGGAGTAATTGAGCGGCATTGACCCTATCTGGATCCCAATCTTGGCGAACAAACGCGGCTCGGAAACGAACCAATTCCGACGGATTTACTGACAACCGCTGCGTTCCGGTTCCACTGCGAATTAAAAATTTAGAATGTTGTAATGTTAAATGTGGTTTTTTTTGGCGAAATCATTGGGTACAAAAAGCTGAGGAGAACTAAGTTTTAAAAGCTACTCGACTGCGAGTTTAGAATGTACTACAGCATAAGATGATAGGTAACCAATTGAGACATGTAATTTGGTCGTTACGTATCGTTTTGGTCTATCTATCCTCTCTAGTTTAGTTCATATTATTTCCATGTATGCAATAGATGAACATTTCTTTTTTGAAGCTGATATGTTAGATTTACCCTCACATTTAGGTTTGTATTTAGCTTGTCTCATTGAGCTTGAAGAATTGGTTAAACAAAAGGCCCATTTACAACCGGCTGGGCCTCGGACCCTTACTAATACTAATAACGGCCATTTATGGCAATACGGCCTAGCCGTCCTTTGTTCCCATTGTTTTGGTCAGAACAGCTTTCCCCTCGCT